AGGAAATGTTGAAATAATTATAATAAACTTTGGTATAAGTAAATGCTTTATTAGAAGTAGGTTTAGTAATTCTCTTAATCACTGACATTCTCAACAATTTATAAGAATAGTAATTGTTCAGTTACTTAAAATGGAAAAGTTATTGAAACAAATTAGAATGGTTGGTAATGTTGTATGTGTGATTAAATGATCCCTAAGAATGGTCTGATCTAATTTGCTATTAAAATTATTGAATTATCTAGCATTATGATAGGAATTGGTTTTAGGGATATTGTGTAGAGTAGGAATTATGGTAATTGTTATGATATTGGATAAGGGTATATTTATGATATTAATAGAATCAAAATAGAACATATAATATTTATTGTAATGGTTATTGTTGGAATCATGATTAATAAGATAAAAATAATAAATAAATAGCATTTCCATTTTCAACAAATGATATTATAATTGTTGAAGTGGATATTCAAAAGAAGTACGTGAAATGGACAAAGTAATCCACAAATCAATCATTTGTATCAATTTCTATTTATTATTATTAGACTCTCAATATTGATACATCCAAAGATTTGTATCCATGTGTTCATTTTGCAGGTAGATGTAAAGTAGAGATATTAAATTAAGTGTTTAAATGAAAAATTAATATTTTTTAATTTATTAAATTTTATTCAATATTTGTATTTGATTAGAGAGAAACTTTTTTGGATCCAGAAAATTCTAATTAGAAAAGGTTTCAATACCCTAAGAGATTTACAGTAGAAACTCCCTTGATAATAAGGCTACATCCTTCATTGTTTTTACAATTATTGTCCAAATTCTTAAATCAGAGTTAATATTTTTTCTTTCATAAACCTTCATTACTCTTTCTCATCGTGAACATGTATTATCAAATTTTTTCTCAACTAATAATAACATTATCACCTTTAGCTGTAAGAAGTACCATGTATACCAAGCTTTCTGAGCCTCTTATGATTTTAAGCCTTGATTATACTTGATTATAAGTTTGAATCATTGGAGTATTCTTAAGTTTGAAACTCATAACAATTTTTTTATTGACGGTATTAATTGAAATCATTATTGGTAACTTGCTTTTAAGGTTTACATTAAAATCCCATAAATTGATCTCCAGATTAGTTTTCCTACTCTATCTCACATACATTAGACCAGTTATGACATCATTTATTGTCACTAAAAGGATATCTAACTTGATTTTAAGAAGTCAATCGTCATAATAACTACAATTCTTCTTTTGTTTTCTCCTCATTCGTATACCCCTTATCCAAGATATTTAGTCCCTAATACCTTTAAGCCCTGAAAAGGTCGAGTTTCATTTTTATTTATTCTCCGATTCTTGAAACCTATGGAGTTCTTTCTTTTCAGAGTAGATGGAATCTTAAGAATTTTGTTTTTATTCTTTGAAAAAAACCTCAGATCTACCATTTCCTTACAATCTCTACATTAATAAATTTATTAACTTTTCTTGCTTTACCTTCGTTATCTCCTTCTCCTAGTATTAAAA